TGAAGACGAGAACCAAAGCAGGAGGCGCGTCGCGGTAGATGAAGGGCGCCATCTTGTGGCGGGAAGAAGGGAGTGAGGCGGAGTGAATGTCTTACCATGACAATGAAGCAGGGATGAGGTGGGCCTCCAGGAGCGGCCACCATCATGCTAACCTGCCATTTTGCCCCCACCGGAATGAGGCTTTCCCGGCAGGTGTCCAGGGCCGTTCTGTGGCGCCCTGGGGGGGGGGGGGGGGATGGCGCCCTGGGGGGGGGGGGGGGATGGCGCCCTGGGGGGGGGGGTGGCGCCCTGGGGGGGGGTGGCGCCCTGGGGGTGTTGTGGCGCCTTGGGGGTGTTGTGGGGCCCTGGGGGTGTTGTGGCGCCCTGGGGGTGTTGTGGCGCCCTGGGGGTGTTGTGGCTCCCTGTGGGTGTTGTGGCGCCCTGGGGGTGTTGTGGCGCCCTGGGGGTGTTGTGGCGCCCTGGGGGTGTTGTGGCGCCCAGGGGGTGTTGTGGCGCCCTGGGGGTGTTGTGGGGCCATGGGGGTGTTGTGGCGCCCTGGGGGTGTTGTGGGGCCCTGGGGGTGTTGTGGGGCCCTGGGGTGTTGTGGGGCCCTGGGGGTGTTGTGGCCCCCTGGGGGTGTTGTGGCGCCCTGGGGGTGTTGTGGCGCCCTGGGGGTGTTGTGGGGCCCTGGGGGTGTTGTGGCACCCTGGGGGTGTTGTAGGGCCCTGGGGGTGTTGTGGCGCCCTGGGGGTGTTGTGGCGCCCTGGGGGTGTTGTGGCGCCCTGGGGGTGTTGTGGCACCCTGGGGGTGTTGTGGCGCCCTGGGGGTGTTGTGGCGCCCTGGGGGTGTTGTGGCGCCCTGGGGGTGTTGTGGGGCCCTGGGGGTGTTGTGGCGCCCTGGGGGTGTTGTGGGGCCCTGGGGGTGTTGTGGGGCCCTGGGGGTGTTGTGGCGCCCTGGGGTGTTGTGGGGCCCTGGGGGTGTTGTGGGGCCCTGGGGGTGTTGTGGCGCCCTGGGGGTGTTGTGTGGCCCTGGGGGTGTTGTGGCACCCTGGGGGTGTTGTGGGGCCCTGGGGGTTGAGAGACGCCCGGGGGGGGGGGTGTGGCAGGTGTGGACGGGGTTCATAAAACTGTAGAGTGGATTATGAGGTCAAGCATAGTGCCAGGAGGTCAAGCTTAGTGCCAGGAGGTCAAGCATAGTGCCAGGAGGTCAAGCATAGTGCCAGGAGGTCAAGCATAGTGCCAGGAGGTCAAGCATAGTGCCAGGAGGTCAAGCATAGTGCCAGGAGGTCAAGCATAGTGCCAGGAGGTCAAGCATAGTGCCACGAGGTCAAGCATAGTGCCAGGAGGTCAAGCATAGTGCCAGGTCAAGCATAGTGCCAGGAGGTCAAGCATAGTGCCAGGAGGTCAAGCATAGTGCCAGGAGGTCAAGCATAGTGCCAGGAGGTCAAGCATAGTGCCAGGAGGTCAAGCATTGTGCCAGGAGGTCAAGCATAGTGCCAGGAGGTCAAGCATAGTGCCAGGAGGTCAAGCATAGTGCCACGACGTCAAGCATAGTGCCAGGAGGTCAAGCATTGTGCCACGAGGTCAAGCATAGTGCCAGGAGGTCAAGCATAGTGCCAGGAAATCAAGCATAGTGCCAGGAGGTCAAGCATAGTGCCACGACGTCAAGCATAGTGCCATGAGGTCAAGCATTGTGCCACGAGGTCAAACATAGTGCCAGGAGGTCAAGCATAGTGCCAGGTCAAGCATAGTGCCAGGAGGTCAAGCATAGTGCCACGAGGTCAAACATAGTGCCAGGAGGTCAAGCATAGTGCCACGACGTCAATCGTAGTGCCAGGAGGTCAAGCATAGTGCCAGGAAGTCAAGCATAGTGCCACGAGGTCAAACATAGTGCCACGACGTCAAGCATAGTGCCAGGAGGTCAAGCATAGTGCCAGGAGGTCAAGCATAGTGCCAGGAGGTCAAGCATAGTGCCAGGTCAAGCATAGTGCCACGACATCAAGCATAGTGCCACGACGTCAAGCATAGTGCCAGAAGGTCAAGCATAGTGCCACGAGGTCAAACATAGTGCCAGGAGGTCAAGCATAGTGCCACGACGTCAAGCATAGTGCCAGAAGGTCAAGCATAGTGCCACGAGGTCAAACATAGTGCCAGGAGGTCAAGCATAGTGCCACGACGTCAAGCATAGTGCCAGAAGGTCAAGCACAGTGCCACGAGGTCAAACATAGTGCCAGGAGGTCAAGCATAGTGCCACGACGTCAAGCATAGTGCCAGGAGGTCAAGCATAGTGCCAGGAGGTCAAGCATAGTGCCAGGAGGTCAAGCATAGTGCCACGAGGTCAAGCATAGTGCCAGGAGGTCAAGCATAGTGCCACGAGGTCAAACATAGTGACAGGAGGTCAAGCATAGTGCCAGGTCAAGCATAGTGCCACGAGGTCAAACATAGTGACAGGAGGTCAAGCATAGTGCCACGAGGTCAAGCATAGTGCCAGGAGGTCAAGCATAGTGCCAGGAGGTCAAGCGAAGTGCCAGGAGGTCAAGCATAGTGCCAGGAGGTCAAGCATAGTGCCAGGAGGTCAAGCATAGTGCCAGAAGGTCAAGCATAGTGCCACGAGGTCAAGCATAGTGCCAGGAGGTCAAGCATAGTGCCAGAAGGTCAAGCATAGTGCCACGAGGTCAAGCATAGTGCCACGAGGTCAAGCATAGTGCCAGGAGGTCAAGCATAGTGCCAGGAGGTCAAGCATAGTGCCACGAGGTCAAACATAGTGCCAGGAGGTCAAGCATAGTGCCAGGAGGTCAAGCATAGTGCCAGGAGGTCAAACATAGTGCCAGGTCAAGCATAGTGCCACGAGGTCAAGCATAGTGCCACAAGGTCAAGCATAGTGCCAGGTCAAGCATAGTACCAGGAGGTCAAGCATAGTGCCAGGAGGTCAAGCATAGTGCCAGGAGGTCAAGCATAGTGCCAGGAGGTCAAGCATATGTGCCACCAGGTCAAGCACAGTGCCACGAGGTCAAGCATAGTGCCACGAGGTCAAGCACAGTGCCACCAGGTCAAGCATAGTGCCACGAGGTCAAGCACAGTGCCACGAGGTCAAGCATAGTGCCACGAGGTCAAGCACAGTGCCACCAGGTCAAGCACAGTGCCACGAGGTCAAGCATAGTGCCACGAGGTCAAGCACAATGTCACACGAGGGGCCCGTGCGGAGTCGTGCATGAGGGCGTGCGGGAGTCGTTAGGGAGTGCATGAGGGCGTGCAGGAGGGAGTGCATGAGGGCGTGCGGGCGGGAGTGCATGAGGGCGTGCGGACGTGCAGGAGGGAGTGCATGAGGGCGTGCGGGCGTGCAGGAGGGAGTGCATGAGGGCGTGCGGGGGTGTGAGGGCGTGCATGAGGGCGTGCGGGGGTGTGAGGGCGTGCATGAGGGCGTGCGGGGGTGTGAGGGCGTGCATGAGGGCGTGCGGGGGCGTGCGGGCGTGTAAAGTAATGGCCTGTTAGTAGTGGAGTGGGCAGGTTGAGGCCATAATTGGCTTGTGGGTAGTGACTCTCCCGCCCGCCACGATCCTATTGCTACATGAATCAATGTTGATATATTGATAGTTGGCTGGCGGTCCCGGCCCGGTGTAGGTCCGCGGGTGTCGCGGCGTACACCCACTCATCACACAGGTGTAGGCACTCATCACACAGGTGTAGGCACTCATCACACAGGTGTAGGCACTCATCACACAGGTGTAGGCACTCATCACACAGGTGTAGGCACTCATCACACAGGTGTAGGCACTCATCACACAGGTGTAGGCACTCATCACACAGGTGTAGGCACTCATCATACAGGTGTAGGCACTCATCACACAGGTGTAGGCACTCATCACACAGGTGTAGGCACTCATCACACAGGTGTAGGCACTCATCACACAGGTGTAGGCACTCATCACACAGGTGTAGGCACTCATCACACAGGTGTAGGCACTCATCACACAGGTGTAGGCACTCATCACACAGGTGTAGGCACTCATCACACACAGGTGTAGGCACTCATCACACACAGTTGTAGGCACTCATCACACACAGGTGTAATACACCATATTATAGCCCCCCCCCCCCCCCGTGATTTACACCTACCGAAAGGAATTTACCGAGCGCAAGAATTCGGTTACATGCTAAGGTGATTGATTCGGAGAGCGCGGCAAGAGAGAGCTGCCACAGGGAATGCCAACTGTAGCACAAAAAGGTGGAGGAGAGGGGGCGCCCTTGACTGTAAGCTGCAGCAACCTTTTTGCTGTATCGACGTATCGGCTTTCGTGACTCAGTACCGATTTGGGTGCAAGTGGCTCGTTTTATTTCCCACAAATGGTACACACACACTCACTGGCAGCTTCAGCGCCCCCGTCCTCGCCTCTTGATTGTGCCCGGACCTGTTTAGGGCACGTCCTGCCCACCTGGGAGCATGCTGCCCCCACCTAAGGCACGTCCTGCCCACCCGGAAAGATGCTGCCCCCACTTAAGGCACGTCCTGCCCCCACCTAAGGCACATCCTGCCCTCCCAGAAGAATGATGATGATGCCTATTGCAGGTCATGCCCACATGGGTGGGGGGGGGTGATGCTGACGAGGCCAAGGGTACCCGGTGCTGGTGAGACCAGGAAACGTCATGCCCACCTATGGTGAGACTGTCAAGAGCTTGGATATCATTCACCCACCTGTGGTGGTGTTGTTGACGGGGACTGGGGCACCTCTTGCCTACCTCAGGTGATGCTAACTAGTTCCAGGAGACGTCCTAGACGCCGGTGGGAGCGTGGCGAGGACTTGGACGCCGGTGATGAGCGTGGTGAAGACTTGGACGCGTCCTGGACGCCGGTGGGGAGCGTGGCGAGGACTTGGACGCGTCCTGGACGCCGGTGGGGAGCGTGGCGAGGACTTGGACGCGTCCTGGACGCCGGTGGGGAGCGTGGCGAGGACTTGGACGCGTCCTGGACGCCGGTGGGGAGCGTGGCGAGGACTTGGACGCCGGTAGGAAGCCTGCGAGGACTTAGACGCCGGTGGGGAGCGTGGCGGGGACTTGGACGCCGGTGGGGAGCGTGGCGAGGACTTGGACGCCGGTGGGGAGCGTAGTGAAGACTTGGACGCGTCCTGGACGCCGGTGGGGAGCGTGGCGAGGACTTGGACGCCGGTGGGGAGCGTGGTGAAGACTTGAACGCGTCCTGGACGCCGGTGGGGAGCGTGGCGAGGACTTGGACGCGTCCTGGACGCCGGTGGGGAGCGTGGCGAGGACTTGGACGCCGGTGGGGAGCGTGGCGAGGACTTGGACGCCGGTGATGAGCGTGGTGAAGACTTGGACGCGTCCTGGACGCCGGTGGGGAGCGTGGAGAGGACTTGGACGCGTCCTGGACGCCGGTGATGAGCGTGGAGAGAACTCGGACGCGTCCTGGACGCCGGTGGGGAGCGTGGCGGGGACTTGGACGCGTCCTGGACGCCGGTGGGGAGCGTGGAGAGGACTTGGACGCGTCCTGGACACCGGTGGGGAGCGTGGCGAGGACTTGGACGCGTCCTGGACACCGGTGGGGAGCGTGGAGAGGACTTGGACGCGTCCTGGACACCGGTGGGGAGCGTGGAGAGGACTTGGACGCGTCCTGGACGCCGGTGATGAGCGTGGAGAGGACTCGGACGCGTCCTGGACGCCGGTGGGGAGCGTGGCGGGGACTTGGACGCGTCCTGGACGCCGGTGGGGAGCGTGGCGAGGACTTGGACGCCGGTGGGGAGCGTGGCGAGGACTTGGACGCCGGTGGGGAGCGTGGCGAGGACTTGGACGCCGGTGACGAGCGTGGTGAAGACTTGGACGCGTCCTGGACGCCGGTGGGGAGCGTGGAGAAGACTTGGACGCGTCCTGGACGCCGGTGGGGAGCGTGGCGAGGACTTGGACGCGTCCTGGACGCCGGTGATGAGCGTGGAGAGAACTCGGACGCGTCCTGGACGCCGGTGGGGAGCGTGGCGGGGACTTGGACGCGTCCTGGACGCCGGTGGGGAGCGTGGCGAGGACTTGGACGCCGGTGGGGAGCGTGGTGAGGACTTGGACGCCAGTGGGGAGCGTGGCGAGGACTTGGACGCCGGTGGGGAGCGTGGAGAGGACTTGGACGCCAGTGGGGAGCGTGGCGAGGACTTGGACGCCGGTGGGGAGCGTGGCGAGGATTTGGACGCCGGTGGGGAGCGTGGCGAGGATTAGACGCGTCCTGAACGCCGGTGGGGAGCGTAGTGAGTACTTGGACGTGTCCTGAACGCCGGTGGGGAGCGTGGCGAGGACTTGGACGCTAGTGGGGAGCGTGGCGAGGACTTGGACGCCGGTGGGGAGCGTGGTGAGGACTTGGACGCCGGTGGGGAGCGTGGCGAGGACTTGGACGCGTCCTGAATGTCGGTGGGGATCGCAGCGAGGACTTGGACGTGTCCTGAACGCTGGTGGGGAAGCGTGGCCAGGACTTTGACACCGGTGGGTGAGTGGCGAGGACTTGAACGCGTCGAGGACGCCGGTGATGAGGGTTGCGAGGATTTGGACGCGTCCTAGACGCCAGTGGGGAGCGTGGCGAGGACTTGGCATAGGGCACCGCCTGGGTGGGTCTGACATAGGGCACCGCCTGGGTGGGTCTGACATAGGGCACCGCCTGGGTAGGTCTGGCATAGGGCACCGCCTGGGTGGGTCTGGGCATCAGGGTACCGCCTGGGTGGGTCTGACATAGGGCACCGCCTGGGTGGGTCTGGCATAGGGCACCGCCTGGGTGGGTCTGACATAGGGCACCGTCTGGAAGGGTCTGGGCATCAGGGCACCGCCTGGGTGGGTCTACCATAGGGCACCGCCTGGGTGGGTCTACCATAGGGCACCGCCTGGGTGGGTCTACCATAGGGCACCGCCTGGAAGGGTCTGGGCATCAGGGCAACGCCTGGGTGGGTCTACCATAGGGCACCGCCTGGGTGGGTCTGACATAGGGCACCGCCTGGGTGGGTCTGACATAGGGCACCGCCTGGGTGGGTCTGACATAGGGCACCGCCTGGGTGGGTCTGACATAGGGCACCGCCTGAGTGGGTCTGACATAGGGTACCGCCTGGGTGGGTCTGACATAGGGCACCGCCTGGGTGGGTCTGACATAGGGCACCGCCTGAGTGGGTCTGACATAGGGCACCGCCTGAGTGGGTCTGACATAGGGCACTGCCTGGGTGGGTCTACCATAGGGCACCGCCTGGAAGGGTCTGGGCATCAGGGCACCGCCTGGGTGGGTCTACCATAGGGCACCGCCTGGGTGGGTCTGACATAGGGCACCGCCTGGGTGGGTCTGACATAGGGCACCGCCTGGGTGGGTCTGACATAGGGCACCGCCTGAGTGGGTCTGACATAGGGCACCGCCTGGGTGGGTCTGACATAGGGCACCGCCTGAGTGGGTCTGACATAGGGCACCGCCTGGGTGGGTCTACCATAGGGCACCGCCTGGAAGGGTCTGGGCATCAGGGCAACGCCTGGGTGGGTCTACCATAGGGCACCGCCTGGGTGGGTCTGACATAGGGCACCGCCTGGGTGGGTCTGACATAGGGCACCGCCTGAGTGGGTCTGACATAGGGCACCGCCTGGGTGGGTCTGACATAGGGCACCGCCTGAGTGGGTCTGACATAGGGCACCGCCTGGGTGGGTCTGGGCATCAGGGCACCGCCTGGGTGGGTCTGGGCATCAGGGTCATGTTATCGGTAGTGTCAACAGTTAATTAATGACCAAAACATTCTTGAGAAAGTAAACAACATGTTGAGTGGCAGTCAAAGTAGTGGGGACAGGGTGCCAGGTACTTTTGGCTGTCAGTGTCATATGACACAGTCCTGGGTTGTCCCGCTAGTCATAATGTCAGTGTTATTCCTTAACTACATATCCGTTTAGCTGTGCTATTGAGAGGCTTTGTCACGCTATTAGATTGCACTTAATATGAAAATGCTTATTGTCATGCTATTGATGTGTTATACGAATAATATTTGTGAGCTAAACCTTGTGTTCTTCACAGTTGTGTCATCTAGTGAATTTTGACCCCCAGTTGATTGTTGTTGGCTGAGCCCCCGGCCAGACATTGAACACAAGGTTCCCTTGTGAGGCCTAGTGTCGGTGGTGGGGCGTGGCAGCAGGGGCAGGTGGCGCCCACCCCTGCTGGTGGCGCCCACCCCTGCTGCCACCACCCACCCTGCTACACTAGTCCCCATTCTAGCGGAGGATAAACCCTGGCTTTTATTCTCCTTGCAGACTGCCAGAGCCGAAACTCGCGAGCCGAGCCGGGCAAACGAGTCTCCTCTTCCACCACCTCCTCTTCCTCCTCCTCCTCCTCCTCCTCTCACTCTTCCTCTGCCAACCACTCATCTTCCTCCTCCTCCTCCTCCTCCTCCTCCTCCTCGTCTTCTTCCTTAAGCAGCAGTAAACTGCCCCCCGGCCCTCCCCGGTCGTGTCCCCCCCAGCACCGCCCCAGTTACCCACCCACCTACCCCGCCCACGCCCACGCCCACTACCAGGCTCAGGCTCAGGCTCACGCCGGGCAGGCACATGGCTTGGCTCACGGCCCGCCTCAGACTCAAACTTATGGCGCCTGCTATCTTGGCTCAGCCCAGCCCCACCACTTTGCTCAGCCTAGTTCTGCTCCACTCTTCTCGCCCTACAATAGATAGTGAGTGCAAACCCCCTTTCATAAGACAGCCCCACTCTGTGTCACCCCCTAGTGAAGCAGCAGCAGCGGCAGCAGCAGCAGCAGCAGCAAACGTTACTAAACTAGTTGCTTTATTTGGACCCCCCACTCCCCCCTGTTTATCCCCCCATTGGCAGTAACCATTGTGCTCCCCTGTTGTAGTTAAGTTAGCCACACTGTGTCTCCTGCCTCTCCCCCGCTCTCTCTCCTGCCTCCCCCCTTCCCCCCTTGTCGCTGGCTTCAGCCCTCTCACCCATTAGGTGTTCCCCTGCCCGTCTGTGTGACCCATTATAGCAGCAGGAGCCTCGCTGGTACCCATCCCTCCACCCTTCTCCCCTTAGCTCCCCTTCCCCTTAGCTCCCCTTCCCCTCTTGAGAATAGCATGCGCTCCCTCACCCTTCTAAGTACCTCTCTCTCTCTTCCCCTCACCAACCTCTCCCACCTTCCTAAGTTATGACCACTGTTCTAAGTTAGTGTTCCCTTCCAGCGTAATTACTAATAGCAACTTCGGCCTCTTCTAAGTTAATGTTTCATCTCTGCTACTTATTCCCCCTTTTTAGTGTTGGTAGCCCCCCCTAACCCCCCCCCCCTGCTAGTACATTAACTTAGTGCCCAGTTCATCAGCCATATATACTCATAACTCTGTGTTATTCATCAAGTTTCCTGCCCAATGTCAGTCCTTTGTTACCCCTGCTAACTTAGCACTCCTATGTTGTTTGTGTAAGTTTGCACCTCAATGTGTCATCCTCACAAGTTTGTTCATCTACGCCACACGGCTAAGTTAGTACCTGTTCTCTTTCTGTTCTAAGTTAGCACATTTCTTTTACACCACTTGTGTGAGTACTCTTGTTTCGCTTAAGTTATTTCCAAGTTCTCACTCCAAACTTTGAACTTTGTCCTGATATTGACCATCCCAAATTTACTCCGTTTTGTTCCATGTTCCATCTGTCCCAGCCACCAGCGCTTCCTAACTTAGTACCGCTCTGTGTCTCTTCCTAAGTTCGTGTAGCTAGGTATCCCTGTGTACCCTGCTTTACCATCCTAACTTATACCCCTAAGTTACCCCCCCCCATCCCAAGTTAGTGCCAGTCTGTGGTCCATCATTTTATAGCTTATATGTGTTAAGTTAAAAATACCATTAAGTTAGAAATCTATAAATATAATTTTTAATCAAGTTATTGTCCGAGAGACCTTAACTTTGTTATCCAATAACTTAACGTCCTCTTGTGTTGTTAGTTCCCGTCTAAGTTGTAGGTCTCCGTCTAAGTTGTAGTTCTCCGTCTAAGTTGTAGTTCCCGTCTAATTTGTAGATCCAGTCTAAGTTGTAGTTCTCCGTCTAAGTTGTAGATCCCCGTCTAAGTTGTAGTTCCCCGTCTAAGTTGTAGTTCCCCGTCTAAGTTGTAGTTCTCCGTCTAAGTTGTAGTTCCCCGTCTAAGTTGTAGTTCTCCGTCTAAGTTGTAGTTCTCCGTCTAAGTTGTAGTTCCCCGTCTAAGTTGAAGTCCCCGTCTAAGTTGTAGATCCAGTCTAAGTTGTAGTTCCCCGTCTAAGTTGTAATTCTCCGTCTAAGTTGTAGTTCCCCGTCTAAGTTGTAGTCTCCGTCTAAGTTGTAGTTCCCCGTCTAAGTTGTAAGTCTCCGTCTAAGTTGTAGTTCCCCGTCTAAGTTGTAGTTCTCCGTCTAAGTTGTAGTTCCCCGTCTAAGTTGTAGTCTCCGTCTAAGTTGTAGTTCTCCGTCTAAGTTGTAGTTCTCCGTCTAAGTTGTAGTTCCCCGTCTAAGTTGTAGATCCAGTCTAAGTTGTAGTTCCCGTCTAAGTTGTAGTCTCCGTCTAAGTTGTAGTCGCCGTCTAAGTTGTAGATTCCCCGTCTAAGTTGTAGTCCCCGTCTAAGTTGTAGTCCCCGTCTAAGTTGTAGTCCCCGTCTAAGTTGTAGATACCCCGTCTAAGTTGTAGTCTCCGTCTAAGTTGTAGATTCCCCGTCTAAGTTGTAGTCCCCGTCTAAGTTGTAGTCTCCGTCTAAGTTGTAGTCCCCGTCTAAGTTGTAGTCCCCGTCTAAGTTGTAGTCCCCGTCTAAGTTGTAGTCCCCGTCTAAGTTGTAGATCCCCGTCTAAGTTGTAGTCTCCGTCTAAGTTGTAGTCTCCGTCTAAGTTGTAGTATCCGTCTAAGTTGTAGATCCAGTCAAAGTTGTAGTCCCCGTCTAAGTTGTAGATACCCCGTCTAAGTTGTAGTTCCCCGTCTAAGTTGTAGTCCCCCGTCTAAGTTGTAGTCCCCGTCTAAGTTGTAGATACCCCGTCTAAGTTGTAGTCTCCGTCTAAGTTGTAGATACCCCGTCTAAGTTGTAGATACCCCGTCTAAGTTGTAGTTCCCCGTCTAAGTTGCAGTTCCCCGTCTAAGTTGTAGTTCCCCGTCTAAGTTGTAGTCCCCCGTCTAAGTTGTAGATACCCCGTCTAAGTTGTAGTTCCCCGTCTAAGTTGTAGTTCCCCGTCTAAGTTGTAGTTCCCGTCTAAGTTGTAGTCCCCCGTCTAAGTTGTAGTTCCCCGTCTAAGTTGTAGTCCCCCGTCTAAGTTGTAGTTCCCCGTCTAAGTTGTAGTTCCCGTCTAAGTTGTAGTCCCCCGTCTAAGTTGTAGTTCCCGTCTAAGTTGTAGTCCCCCGTCTAAGTTGTAGTTCCCCGTCTAAGTTGTAGTTCCCCGTCTAAGTTGTAGTTCCCGTCTAAGTTGTAGATACCCCGTCTAAGTTGTAGTTCCCCGTCTAAGTTGTAGTCCCCCGTCTAAGTTGTAGTTCCCCGTCTAAGTTGTAGTTCCCCGTCTAAGTTGTAGATACCCCGTCTAAGTTGTAGTTCCCCGTCTAAGTTGTAGATTCCCCGTCTAAGTTGTAGTTCCCCGTCTAAGTTGTAGTCCCCCGTCTAAGTTGTAGATACCCCGTCTAAG